CCTCCCCCCCATAACCGTTTTTTTTTTTAAATTTTCAAACTCTAGTATATAAGACTAATTTTATTCATGTATATTTTATAGATAATACAATAATCACACGAATCTCCATAATATTATATAATCATCTATCAATATTATCAAACAATATTATACCCGCTAAAAATAAGTGATGGATTTTCCACATTATCGGTTTATCGGAATATTCCCAATCGCAACGACTCTCCGGACTCCGACCTCCATTAGTCTGTTACTATGTTCTCATTTGGTAATAATCGGCAGAGTCGTGTTTAATGGGAGCCGGGAGGCAAAGGGGGCAACTGCCCCTTTATCATTTTCATATTTTAAGAACGGAGCAAACATATTGTTAATACCAATATTATTCATTATTAATTATTATATTATACTTGGACGTTTTTGGTGAAAAAGGGTATGTCAGTTTAAAAAAAAAGTAAATATTATTCTTTCATATTGGAGATTGAAAGTGATAAGACGTAACGGGGACGCTGTGTATCATTTATATGTTATTTTACATGTTCCCCGCATTGAACTATATTATATAGTTCAATGGTTCCCCGTTACAGAACCACCACCCGCCGGATTGATAAGCTTTCAATCGGCAATAGTAGGTAGATATTTTTACGCCGGATCGACTATTGGCACTGACATTTAGCTAACTCGTTTCTTAAGAATATCATCTATTGAGATGGCTATATTTTATATGTTATTTTTAGATTTTATACAGTGATATTAAATAGTAAACAAATATTAAAATCCATGCAGAAAAACGTATTGATATTTATGTTGATGATATTGAAAACGATTTCATAGGAGAAGTTTTACAATTTAAAGATATAATTTGTAACTTTTCTATTGAAAACGAATCATCATCTTTGCTTCACATTTTAATAAAGCTCTCATACAATCTCAGCTTTCTTCAACATTCCCAAATGTTGAAATAGCTCTAAGAATTTTTTTGCTCTCTTCCATACTCTAATGTCACTGGGGAACGTTCTTTCTCAGTTCTAAAGAGTGAAAAATTACCTTAGGTCATCATGATCTAATGAAAAACTTTCGGCACTTTCCATATTGAGTATAGAGAATACAATATTAAAACAAATAGAATGGGAACAAAAAAATTCATAAATTCGCTTCGGGATAAGTTATCAGAAAAAAATTGATCTAAAATTGTTATATTAAAATAAAATATATTGTATTTTAAATAGTTATTTTAATAATCAATTCCTCATAATAAAAATAACTATTTTTTTTTTTTTTTTACTGCATTGTAAAATTTTTAAATTTAAACTATAATTAAAACATAATTAATTATTTTTGAAATTGTGGCAAAGAGGCGTTACATTTATTTTGCCCCCGGCGTTTTTAACTCTTAATCCGTCGCTGATAATCGGCTCTATTAGTTGCACTCCTCTGCTTAAAGTGCTTAATGAATAAGCATTAAGACCACGTAGTGTGCTTTTATTGTGATTTGTGATGTAATCATGTAACTGCATCTAGTATCTATACTCTGTTCAAAATAAGATGATGACTCGGCGGCGACCAGTTTTCGTCGGGCGGCGGTCAGACGCTGTCCCCACTACGGCGACGCGTCGGGCGCTGCAATGGAACAAAGCCACGCCCATGCGCACAACTTGGCCGCCGAGTCATCATCTCATTTTGAACAGAGTATAGGACCTAGGTATCAATAAAGTTAATGTTTAAGTGTACCTAAATGTGAATATCTAAATATTATGTTATTATTTATTTTAATGTATAGTGTAGGTATACCTACAATATTACATAGATACAGATCATAATGGTTGTATACCTACTTGTATTGAGAGGTGCTTATTGCTTAAATGATTAAAAAAAAAAAAAAATGTTGAGTGGGGAAATGTACATACATTTCATCCCCCCCCCACAACCATAAACCAAATTACGGTACTAATGCCATCCATGTATTTAAAAAGTCATATCTGCGTTGAAGAAAAAGAAAATACCTATAAACAAAGTAAAACTTAAACAATATACAGCTGGCGAATGTCCCCTGCGAAAAAAAAATAGTTAGACAAAGTACAGCGTTTGTAAAATATTGGCTTTGATTATAAAAATAGAACAACCAATGAATATTTACAAGGAATAGTATTTAATTTCCAATATTGCAAATATAATATTTCACAATTAAAATTAATGTGATATCTAGAACAGCACGAGAAAAACAAATTGCGATAAAAAGTATTAATGTCCAAGGTTTTGACCGAAACAATTTTTGTGTTCAAGGTTTTGACAATAACAATTTTTTTGTTCAAGATTTTGACGTTCAGAGCTTTGATGGAAACTACTTTTTTGTTCAAGATTTTGACGTTCAAAGGTTTGACGAAAACTATTTTATTGTTCAAGATTTCGACATTCAAGGTTTTGATGTTCAAGTTTTTGAATGTTCAAGATGTTGACATAAATTTATGTTCAAGATTTTATCGTTCAATATTTTGACGTTCAAGATTTCGACGTTCAATTGTTTGACATTCAATGTTTTGAAGGCCTCCCGTACTAATTTGTATAAACCGTTTTTTGTGATAGCTGGTGAGTGGGGGATTGGCCCACCGCCGCTAATATTTTGTTGTAATTTAATTTTTCAATAAACGATGGTTAGGTGGCTGGAGGTGAAGTAATGCTAACGCGGTTCCGCCTCCGGCCCTCGATTCAACCGGAAAAAAAAAAAAAAGGTAATCATCGTGAATTGTTTTTTCTGTGTAAGATTCTGGAGATTATAGTTTGAACTCTTTAATATGACGTGTTATTATTGAATAATTTTTTCAAAATGTTTTTTTTAATTTTCTTTAATGCATTTGTTTACAGGTACTCTATGAATATACTTTCTTTAATGAACTATGTTTTATGAATAGTTTTATTAAGATTCTGGAGATTGTAGTTTGAACTCTTTAATCTGTGTTCCTACTGTTTAATTTTTTTCTACATTTTTTTATTGTTTTCTAAAATGTATTTTTCTGCAGGCGCAAACACTCCCCTTAAGTTTTTTTTTTTTAGGAATTATACTCTATTTACATTTCTTCTATAGACTTGAATATTGATAACCTGCAGGTGTACTCTGTATTGACATTCTATAACGAGCTAGTATATCATTATAAACTGTTTTTTCTGTTTATGAATTTTAAGATTATGGTTTCAACTCATTGATATGTGTACTTATTGTATATTATTTTCTAAAATGCATTTGATCCCTTCAATTTTTTTGTTAGGATTTTAACTCTTGTTGAATTTTTTATATAGACATGATCATTGATATCCCGCAGGTGCCCTATGAATAGTTTTTCTTTAATGAGCTATTGATTTTGAATAGTTTTTTCTGTTTTATATTCTGGAAATTTCAGTTTGAGCTCTCTAATGTGTTCCAATTGTATAATTTTTTCTAAAACTTTTTTTAGTTTTCTAAAATAGTAAAATCACTAAGCACACGCAGCACGGTTAAGGCGTTACTGTTTTTTAGTTTTTCCATTAGGATCATTTTTCCGTAAATCATAAATCATAATATTATATTAATAGTTTTACAAAATTTTTTTAAATACAAATTTAAACACTGAGCTTTGGATAGGTATTTCAGCTACAATACAGGTCATTGTTTTTGTGCACCATTATTAAACAATATACGTGGTTCAGTGTTTATGTACAACTCTAGGAAGCCGTTATAGTTATATCTAAAACCGTGTAAGTAATGCAAAAGCAGATCTCACGGTGTCTTGTCGTCAGTTCCAAATGGAAAAAGTTTCCATTTAGGCTACAGCCTACAGGCAACTATTTATAATAATATTTCTGTAAATAAACATACGATTTATCAATAGACTGTATGATATACTTTTGAAATCAAAATTATTTTCATTTCCAATAAATAAAACATCACTATTACATTTTGATATCTTAACGGGACATGTAGAAATACATTCAACGGATGACTTAGTGATATCTTCATTTTCAAATAATAATTATCGTCATAATTTCTAAAAAAATAATAATTAGTTTATTAAAAAAACATGGAAACTAATCAATTACTAATAAAAAGTTGTATACAATTATGTTACATTAAAATTATTTAATACAAAATTAAAAATTAATTATCAAAAAGATAAACTTAAATTAGTTCAAGTTATTTTTTGATTAAAGGGAGGGGAAGAAATACAAAGCCAGACAGAGTACTGTAAAGCAGTGGTACATGAAGTTGTATTACCATGACGTGGGCCGAACTTTTGAAATATAATTAACTAGCATAGTCAGTGGCGCAAATAGGAAAAATGTTTAGGGGGGGCTCAAGCCTCAACACATTTTTTTTTAAATTGTAATTTATAGGTACATACTTTTAAGAACGGTATCTGTATTTATTCAATTAAACATAGTACAATAGTACAAACATAGTACATTTATATATTTATAAATATATATAATATTATATAACATTATTCAATTTTATTCAAATAAATAGAGATATTTAATGTAATTGTATACGCCTCTCAGTTTTTTAAAAAATATTTAATATTTCTTCATTATTGATAGGAATGTCTTTTTCTATATTCAAAATACTTAAATTGCTGAACCTATCTTGATTCATACAAGTACGCAACCATGTTTTTATACGTCGCATAGTAGAAAATGATCTCTCACAGGTTGCTGTACTTACGGGAAGAGTAACAGCTACTTGAAACATCTTACAAAAATTTGGAAATACTTTACCATCATATAATGTCAAATGCTGTTGTATTTCCTCTAAACTAGAGTTTTCACCCAGAATGTTTTTTAAAACAGACATTTCAGACATCAGTGACTGATTACAAATTCCAAATAAATCCTGAATAAATATTAAACATTAGTTAAATGCTTGAAAAATAATAATGTATTTTACTTGTACCTTGTAATGATCAATTAAAAATGAAGAACCTTCATAATTCAATTTTAGTAAATTATCTACTGATGAGCCTACTTGAAGGCTTTCTTCAGAAAATCTTGTTTTTAAAATATTTATCATTGTACCTATCTAATATACAGTAATAAGCTTTCTTTTTCCAATAGTTTTTTTTAGTTTCTACAATATCTGCAGTATGATCATCGCTAGCACTAGTTGTTGACATACAAACAAAATCTTTGAGTTGAGGTGGCTCTTTTCGTAATCTTTTCTTTGATACAGCTATAACAAAATAAATAAATAATTATTAAGTATAAATTAATTCAGTATTTTTATATTTTTTCTTACATTGCAAAGGAATTTCAAGAGAAATTGCATGTTTAGTGCTAAATTCAAGCATTTCATTCCAAAGTGTATTATAATGTTGTTCAAAATCACGATGTTCTTGTAAAGTTGTAATTACTCCAATTATTAAAGATTTAGAATTACCGAGGGTTGCTGATTTTGATTGTAAATGGTTTGATAGTATATGAATAATTTGTAAGACTTCCTTTAATATGAATAAATATATTATAAAATCATCAGACTTACTTGTTGAAATAATACCTAAAACAAAAAAATATAAGTTCAATATTTTTCACTGAATAATAAAATAAAATATAGTTGCCATTAAATTATATAAATCTACATAAATCAATACCAATTGCTTCAGCGACATCTTTTGCTTCAATTTCCTCTTCTAAAGACTGAATTAATGCACCATAATTTTGTATGACTGAGCTGCAACTTTTAAAACGACAGGCCCATCTTGTTTCACTTAACTGAACTAATGATGTTTTTTTCAAACCAAGTTGATTTTGAATTACATTGAATTTTTTATTTTTTGAAGGATATGAGAAATGTACATATATGGCATCTAGTCCATTAAATAATTTTCTAAGATCCTAAATAAACAAAATAGGGTTTTAATTACTATAAATTATTAATTGGTACTAAGTAATAAAACATTTTTCAAACAAATAATAAATAATAGGATTACTTTCAAATATTTGCATGTGTCCACAATCACTAAATTTAATTTGTGAGCCATACAATGAATGTATATAGCGTATGGATATATTTGCTTAAGTTTAGTTTGGACACCTCCTTTCTGACCAGACATTACATTTGCTCCGTCAAAAGACTGGCCAACAATTGGAATATCAGATAGATTACAAAAATGTAAAAAGTCGATAATAGATGAATATTATAATGCATCTGCATTTTGACTAGGTATATGATACATCAACAAATCCTAAAAAACGTTCTTTTACCTCTAAATTGTTTGTATAACGGATACAGATAGACATTTGCTCTTCTTTATGAGATCTGTATTCAAACACATTGATATTTATTATTTTAAACATCATTCTTAAAAATATTTATTTTTATTTACCTGGCTTCATCACATGAAATGGAAAACATACCACCATTTTTAACTTCAGAAACAATATTATCTCTCACATATGAAGCACAAATATTTATCAAATCATTTTGAATGGCCCAGCTAGTATGGTTAGTTGAGTTGAAAATATACTTTTCTCAAACTCAATATGATGTTTTGAAAACAACATGCAAAGCTCTTTAAAATTACCTTAAATAAGAAATTAAAATATTATACTTAATTTTTAAAGGTAAACAAATCATTAAAATCACAAAGCATATTATTTATTTATCCTTTCCTTTATTTAAAGCATCTTCATTTTCACGATGACCCCTAAATGGAAGTCCCTGCCGTCCAAGAAATATAACAATGTCAATTAAACATTTAATATACTGCCAATTTTTGTCAATGTGCTCCTTGTTGGCTGTTGATAATTTGGAGATGATACTACCTTGTTTTAAAGAATTTTTATATTCTAACCATCTTGACATACAATTAATGTGATTAATTGTTGAAGCGTGCAAACTTAGTTTTGATTTTTTGGTCTTTGAATCTCTTGATCCACAAAGCTATAGACGATTAGATAAAATATATTGTAATTATTATAATTATAATTATACCTATGATTTTATCTATAATAGGTACATAATTTGGTTTTAATTTTATTTTTAGCTATAAAAACTGAACATTTTATAATTTATTAATTACGATGGTTGATAATTTTCGAGATTTTGATAAATTTTGTCAAAATGCGATTTTTAAATGCTTATAAAAAAAATTGTGCCTATGTATTTTTAATATTTTTCAATCGCTATTGTAACAATATATCAGGAGCCTTGTATTAATTTTTCACACTATTTGGCCCAACAGATAAAACTTTATTAGTATTTATAGAAAAAAAAAACTAAAAAAATTGAAAACTGAAAATGTCCGTAAACGGCTCAAAAAGAGTCAAAATATTTTCAAAATTGTATGGTGTATAGGAAATGCTAATAAAAACATTCAGCAAACTTTTCATGTATATACAGTAATTCGTTTTTGAATTACAACAAAATAAGGAAATCGCCACATGAGAAATCGAGTGAATATCCAATGTTGTAAAAATTTGAATTTCAAACGCTCATAAAAATTTAATTTGACTTTCTTATAGAATTTTTTTTTTTGATAAATGTAGGAAATCTTATAAGGAATCTTGTACTACATTTTCATATCTTAGATTTAAAAAGAAAAATTTTTATGAATTTCTATCTCAAAATAATTTGCAAATTTTCGTGATTTTTCCATATTTTGTCATTTTTTGAACTTGAAAAAAAAAACTGTGACTAACGATTTTTAATATTTTTCATCTGTCTTTGAAACAGTATAGTAGGAGCCTTGTATTAAATTTTCAAGTATTTTTACTCAACAAATACATTTTTATTGATATTCATAAAAAAAAAAACTAATAAAATTTGAAACTGAAAATGTCCCTAAACAGTTCAAAATAAATCAAAATATTTTGAAAATGTTATCGTGTATAGAAAATGCAAATATAAACAACCACTGAAAATTTCATGTATCTACGGTTATTTGTTTTAAAGTTACACCAAAAACCAAAATCGATTTTTTGGAAAACCGATTTTGCGTAAAAATTCCCGTTTTGCCTTAATTTTTATTTTGTTTTTCCCGGCGCTTTTGAAAACTACTGGGAAATTTAAATTTTGAACTCCCCAATGTACCAACGATATTCACTTTCCAATCGAACAAGATACTGAAGTTGAAAATCGAAGCATTATTTCGACTACTTATCGTGTACACAGACACAAAAAATTAAAAAAAAAAAATTTTAATTCGGTTTTAAGGTGATAGACAAAGAGTTCGAAATTAAAATCCATTTTATAGTGGTTTTTCGTAATCTTTCGGTGATTTTTCCAGCGGCAATATTTAATAACTATTGATAAAGTCGAAAAATGACCTCTTTAAGGTACCTACCATCCTGATCCAATTTGCTAAAAAATAAAATAAGTACTATATGTTGAAATCGAAGCACTCCTTCTGGTAAAAATTTTGTATACAGGATAAAAAAAAAATTAATAAACATCATTTTAAAACCATTAATTAAAATTTAAAGAGTGTAAAAATATCATTTGTATGTAGTATTATAGATAATCTATTTACTCGCAACTATGTGCAAATTATATATGAATGGGAATTTGATAAAAGGGAAACTATAATTACATTTTTGACAAAAATAGTTTTGTTGTATATTATTCATCCTCTTATATAAACACATATAATATGCTTATAATTTGTAAATCAAAGACTGATTCAATAAAATTAGGTGCATAAGTTTTTGTTTTTTCTTTAAATTTAATAAAAAAATATTGTTTTTTTAAGATTGTTATTCAATTGTTTATATTCAAAATTTGTTATTTAGTAGCATTGTTATCTATTTAATTGGATAAAATAAATATTTTATAAGTATAAAATAATAAGTATTTTATCATTTTAAAATGTGACTATTATATTAAATTATGATACCTTAAATTAATAAAATTATTAGAATTTTTTAAAAAGTACCTATGTTACATTACAAAAATTCGTTACTTATAAAAGTACAAAAATGTTTTAAATAATTTTGTTTTTGCCATTTATTTTTTATACAATACTATTTAATCTTAATTGTGATGATTGATCTTATTACGCAAATAGAAAGAAAGGAAAACTGTTTTTTGTTTCACCTGAAAAGTAGTTGAAAATGTACATGGGTCCCTTACTCACTCCCTTTTAACAAATTGCAAAAAAATAACCAAGTACCTACATCATATTTTAATGATTTCGGTTATTGGTAATTTACATTATCAGATTTTACTATAAAAATAATATTACCATAATAGATGTACAATTTTTTTTAAATATATTAATAGAGTAAAGTTAAATATACATAAATTTAAAAAATAAAAATTGTAGTTAAATAATTTTTATATAATATAATATAATATTAGATGCATAGCTGTGTTATAGATATAAATCAGTGGGTAGAGGGGAATTTTTAATAACAAAAATAATTATATTCAAATTAAACTATCTATTGCTATTATACAATATGTTAAATAATATGTTAAAAAAACAATTAGGTTGGTTACTAACTAAAAATTATTAATAATTATAAAATATTTGTAACCACATTATGAAACAAAGTAAAATAAATGTAAATAATATATAAACATGAATATTTCTTGAAAAATATAAATATTACACTATCAACATTAAAAACATGGAACACTTCAAAACATACATAAAATATTTTTTAAATTGTAAGTCATATAATATTTGACTGTATTAAAATATATCAAAATTTGTTTCGGATAAAATAATGTACCAACTACCAACAATCAATATACATGGCTGGATAGGACTATAGATAATATAAGAATGGATAGGCCATTCCTATTTTAACAAAATAAGGGGTCGCGGTTCGGAATATGGATGAGAGAGAGAGACTGATTTTTATAGTGCTCTCACTCCACCAAGGGGTTTTAAATTCTGGTGGCCTATCCATTCTTAAAAAATATTATCTATAGACTATAGATGGGATCTTCTTTCTGCGCCGTTTATATTAAAAGTGCTTCCATGTAGAATAGTGTTTCATTAGATTTTATGATTACATTTTAGGAATCATTGATTAAGTATTTTACATAGTATTTTTTTTGATTCTTTTCTCCTGTTAATTTTCTTGATTAAGGAATTAGCAAACTATGTAACGAGCACATAATTATCAGATATTTTGAATCTGAAAATACAGTAAATAAAAAAATGGTTAGAAATTATCTGAATGGTATATTATCTTATTTATAAAATTTTGATTACAGTGAATAATACTGGTACTACATATAGTACATGCTCAATAGGCAACACTGGGCACCAACTAATAAGTTTTAATTCATATTAACTTTGTAACTTAACTAGTTGCATTTAATTTGTAAAATGATCTAATC